CTTTCTCTGACTTACTTCACTTAGTGTGACAATCTCCAGGTCCATCCATGTTGCTGCAAATGGCATTATTTTATTCTTTTTTATGGCTGACTAGTAAAGAAATCAGTATTAACAATATTGTAGACCAGGGACACCATTGGGACAGGCTCTCCCTGAAGGATGCACAGGGTTCTTACACAGCCTTGCTAAAGATGAGCTTACAATCCAAGATGACGAAGCACACGAGGAAACAGTCCACATGAGCAAGAGGAGGCTGACACCACACTCAGGGAGGGTGGAGATGGCTATGTCAGCGTGACCTCCTTTTAGAAACAGGGGAAGGAGGGAGAAGACAGGAAGAAGATCCTGACACGAGGTGGTTTCTCAGCCGCACAACTCAAATCTGAGCTCCACCACCAGCCTCCTGGTCCAACAACTGGTGAGCCAGCTGGTGGCTCTGACAGGAGGTCCAGAGCCTCAGATGCAGGCACTGAGGCTCAGGGCGGGGGCTGTGCTCCCAGCGGTTGAGAGAAGAGCCCTGCAGGTGACCCACAGGAGGGCTGCTCCACCGGCCCTCAAGTCACTAAACACCCTGGATGCTATGAGTGTGGTCCATGGCCCCAAACCCACATCGTGGGACCAATAAGGCATGCATCCCAGTACAGTTATGGTCACTTAGGTTTGAAGGAAAGGGTCTCCCCCAAACCCTCTCAGCCTCATTTCTACCCCTCCTCACAGTCTGGCAGAGGTGGGAGGCTCTGGGGGTGCAGGGGTGGGAAGAGGGACCAGGCCACCCCATCTGCCGTCCACACACCCGCCTGCATCAGACGCCCACCCCGGGAACACAGAGGTTCACCTCCCACCCCATTTCAGGGAAATTTAGAGCTGGGAGGATGTTCCTTCCAAGAAGATGTACCAATGTATTTAAGGAGGAAAATGGTACTTCTGCAGCTGAGGTGGAAGAAGAATTTCTACCAAAGAAAAAAAGAAGAAAAAAAAAAAAAAAAGACTGGCCAAGAAAAGCAGAACTGAGAGAAATCTAAAGCCCAGATGATGCTGTGATTTTAAGTAGGGACCCTCTCTGGCTTGGCCTTTTCCTTGGGAGACAAGAAGTCAGAACTTTGAACCAGCCAGCAGAGAACACGCCCCAGAGCAGAGCTGTCTGCCCGCGAGGGGCAGTCCCATGGAGGCAGGCGAGCGGGCGGCCAGAGGAAGGATGACTCACTGCTCAGAGAACAGTCTTTTCCAGACCTTGGGCTGGGCAGGCACTCAGGGAGGCCTGGGCCAGGGCCCTCGGAGCTCAGCACACCAAGCGTGGGCTCGCACCCCCGACCCCACCCGCCGGCGGGCACGCCATCTGGGAGACCTTGGAGAGCCTTTGTTCTTGCCTGGTTCTGCCGATCAGCCAGGGAGGCCCCAGGGAGCTGGCACTCTCCCTTCCCCCACAGCCTTCCTTTCCAGGGGATGGATGGACAGAGAGCCCCACAGGAACAGCAGGGTGCAGGCCTGACACAGCCGGCTGCTCCCTGGACCCACGGGTCCTCCGGAACACCCACAGCCTAGGTCCGGCTAAGAGCAGTCAGTGTGTCAGGAGGAGCCCCGACCGCGCACCTAGACTAAGAGCGCTCCTCTCCCTGAGCACCGGCTGCCGCCTTCAGACGGCCCAGGGATGCTTCCCGGGGAAGCCAGGCAGGGGGCCCAGGCACCCACCCACCCTGCTTTCTGCAGCAGAGCAGTTTGTTTCTTTGTTTCACCTGAACAATGAACAGTAGTTCAGAGCTAGATTAAAGGCCGGAGGTTGACATTCTTATAAAACTGTCGGCCCCTCCATAGTCCCATTGCCCTGCTTGGATAAATGCAGAGAGAAATGTCTGGATCCAACACCAAGATAAAAACGGGTCATTTCATGGGGGAGGGACTGAGGGTCAACTCTGACTTTCTTTTTCCAACTTCTACGGATGCCGCACTTTTATAAAAAGAGATCATCTATGATGTTCATAAAAACAAGCAATTCATTACTTTAAAAACCGTCGAAGGTTGGAGCAAGAAGATGCATGTGCTGCTCATTTATTCCCTCTCACAACAGCACCTGGGCGATCACTTGGTGCAGGCCGGGAACCGCGCCCGGGGTCCAGCAGTGAGTCCCAGGCCTACCCCCAGGGGCGCAGAGTCTACCGGGAGAGGCAGACAGCAGAGAATCCACACGCAAACAAGAAACTCCCCAGAAAAGGATGTGGTGCAGCAAGTACGAGTGGTGGGGGGAGTTCTCGGCGGAGATGACGTCTGGGCAGAGACTTGGAGGGCAAGGAGGCGGCAGCCATGGGTGTCGGGATGGAGCGTTCCAGCAGAAGGACCACCTGTGCCAAGCCCAGGAGGCAGGAGCACGAGGAGAGACAGAAGGGCAGAGATAAGAGGTGGGGCCGGGCCGGGCCGGGCAGGTGAGACAGGCCGGGCTGGCAGGACCCAGAGCTCGGGCCTGTGGAAGAGGCGTGATGCCACCACAAGCAGGACCGGGGCTTGTAAGCAGTGGATGTGTGATTTCGTTTAGGTTCTAAAAACATCTGTCTGGCTGAGCAGACGATGGACTGGGGTGGGAAGGCACAGGAGTGGAAACAGCCTCCTTCTAGAAGTGGTCCAGCCAGAGGCGACGGTGGCCTGGATTATAGATCAGGGTTCCCAACTGTGGCACTCCCAACATCCGGGGCCAGGCTAGTCTCTGCTGTGGGGACCAGCCTGCCACCCAGCAGCATCCCTGACCTCCACCCACTAGACGTCAGAAGCATACTGTCAAGTGTCCCCTAGAGAGACCACTGGCCTGGCGGCAGCAGGACCTGCTGATGAACTGACTGGAGGGTGAAAGAGAGAGAAGAATCATAACAGAAACGCAGGATTTAAAAAACACCCCGTCTGAAGGAGTAGGTAGGCTGCAGAGCCACATGGAGTTCTCCGGACCTGGGGTCCCGGGCGCTTTCCAGGGTCCCTTGGTCTTTATTTCCTGCTGGAGATGCTGAGCAGAGAATTGGCTGTCACCACAGGAAAAGCCTGCTAGGAGCATTCGCTGGAAAGAGCCACAGCTGCAGATGAAAGAGCAGCATCCTCTCCGAGCCCCTGATGGCCCGGGGGAAGCCGAGACACGGCAGGGAGCATCTCACCCGCAGGGACCGGGGGCGTGTCACCTGGCTGTCGGTCAATGGATCGGGCTGACCAGGTCACAGCTGGGGTGGACATGGGGGTGAGGCAGAAAGGGCAAAAGTGATTCCGAGGTGAGGCCACACCTCTCTGGGAGGGCCCGTGAGACCTGGGAGTGTCTGTGGGACCTGAGGGCTGGTATGCCTCGGAGCAGCCGAGGGTCTCCGGGGGCCATGCGAACAACACACCCAGAGCTGGGAGAGGGCTGAGGCCCAGAGAGATGAGCCAAGAGGACCCGGGGCTGGGGGGCGGGCGGTGCAAGGGCAGCGGGCACCACTCAGCAGACCGCACTGGAGTCCTCCCGGGCCAGTGTAACGAGGCAGGCCAGCTCCAGAGGGCAGATGCCTCGGGCCCTGCCTTTAAAATCCGAAGTGTTCTCTGATCAAACGAGAATAGAAATAAAGGCAACATACAAAAGGCACGCCGACTCCGGCTCTGAGAATGAGTCCAGAGTCCTGAGGACGGGAGAGCTCACCACCGTCACTAAGGAAAAGGAACGGGATGAGGGGTCCGGGAAGCAGGGTGGGAAGCTTCTAAAAAGGTCACAGGGTTGCTGAGTTGTCCAAGCCCTGGGCCTGGATTTCTCACCGGATAATTCTAGCTTCTGAGGAAGAGACCAGGTTGCAGCCAGAAGGTGCTCCGGGTCGGCGGGGAGGGGGCGGCGCTAATTAAAACTCCCCAGCGGGACAGGCCTGTTACAGCGGGTCTTGTTACAGCGAACCCCGGAGGGCTGTCCGCATTCCTTTGCACGAAGGAACTGTGCTGTATCAAAGGCTGCTTGAAATAAGAGTCTTATTGTGCGGGCAGGGGAGGTAGACCGACTGTCTGGTCCTCCAGGCACCTGGGGGAAGCACGCGGACTCTCACAGGACCAGACGCGCACAGGGGGGTGCTGGCCTCGCTTGCAGGAGGCCAACATGGTGAAACAGAACCAGACCCTCGGGTCCTAGCCCTGTCCTGGCCACCCTGGAGTCACGTGACCACGGGGGCCGCTGCGACACTGGAGGCTGGATCTGTTCAACTCATAACACGAGTACCAGAAAGAACACAAAACTCGGCTCACGGGGCGGTGCCGCGGGAGCACCCTGCGGCGGGACACGGAGTGACGCGGCTCTCGGGTATCGGCGCTGCAGCATCACGTAACCACCTTAACGGCTGTTTATCTTTGGACAAGGTGGCGCTCCCCAGCTGTCAGGCAGCACCTCGACCACTCACCCCCCCCCCAACAGTGCCACGGCGCCCAGGCCAGCAGCTCACCGTCACCACCACGTAGAAGCACCAGATCACCGAGCTGAGATGAAAGACGACCAGCTGTCCAGATTCATTGAACTTGCTGTGCTTGACCTTGGAGAGATGAAGCCGCTTGCTGATTTTCTAAAGAATAAAAAGAATCCCGCATATTAACATAGGCGTGTATTTATTGCTAATGGGCAGGTTTCAAACTCCTGTTTTCTCCGCACAAAAGGGCTGAAGCCCGAAGCCAGCCGTCACCCGGGTTATTTCGCGTGAGCCTCGTGTGTACACCCAGTGCTTAGAGTTCAGACGAGCACCTCCAGAGAGCGGCAAGATGAACGTCTTCAGCGCAGGTGTAAAGAAACTCCCCCCAGCGGTGCTGTGTGTGACCCCGGGGGACGCCGTCTCGTCCTCCTCAGGCAGCCCCCTCCCGGGGAATGAACACTGCGGTCCGCCTGCTACGAAGGCTGCAGCGGGGGTCCGAGACCTCTCCTAGCGTGGGCGGGAGGTCAGTCCCGCAGGCCCACCAGGGCAGGCAAACCAGGGGACGCCGGACTCAGAGCCGCAGCCGCTCGCTCGCGGCAGCTCCCGGCTTCCCAGCTCCGCACCCAGACCCGCTCACTTACGTCTAAGATGTACTCCTGCACCACGGCGTGCAAGATGATGGTGATGAAGACGTAGAACAAGATTGTGACCAGGTCCTTCGGCCCGTAGTGGTAATGCACGCTCTCGCCGTCTGAGGAGGCAAGGACAGCCACGTCAGCATCCCCAGAGGGGGAGGTGCTCTGGGACCCAAAGTGAGAGGAGAGCTGAGGCGGAACGGGAGGTCGCATGCTTCCTCCGGCTGCAGACTTAGTAGAAAGAGAACCCCACCCACCCTTTGGGCTCAGCCCCTGGTAGCACCAGTCGGGAGAGGGCTGAGGAGAAGCAAGCACATGTATATTGTGATGACCTCCCCTCAGTCTGGGCAGGAGGGCAGTGAGTCTCCATCACTCCCTGGCTGTGTGACTACTGAAAAGCAACCAAGCTCTCTGAACCAGAGTCTCCTGCCCTGTAAAAACGAGACCTGCGATGCAAGGTTAAGCCTGTGGACTCAGAAACCTGAGTTTGTATCAAAGCTCTGTCACTGACTATACTTGAATTTTAAAAAAAGTATGTACCAACCCCTCTCCCTAAAAGCTCTGCCATTTATGTCCTTTCCTCTTTATTTTTTAAATTGAAGTATAGTTGATTTATAATATTGTGCTAATTTCAGGTGTGCAGCACAGTGATTCAGTTATATATATATACATATTTAGATTATTTTCCATTATAGGTTGTTACAAGATGTTGAATATTGTTCCCTGTGTTAGATATTAAATCATTGCTGTTTATTTTATATATAGTAGTGTATATCTGTTAATCCAAAACTACTAATTTATCCCCCCACCCCTACTTTCTCTTTGGTAACCATAAGTGTGTTTTATATGTCTGTGAATCTGTTTCTGTTTTGTAAATAGATTCATTTGTATTATTTTTTAAGATTGTACATATAAGTAGTATCATATAATTTTTGTCTTTGACTTAATTCACTTAGTATGATAATCTCTAGGTTGCTGTTGCTGCAGATAGCAATATTTCATTCTTTTTATGGCTGGGTAATATTCCACTGTGTGTGTGTGTGTGTGTGCGTGCGTGTGTGTGTGTGTGTGTGTGCGCGCGCACGCACACACACGGGTGTAATGTCTGACACAGGAAACAAAAAAAGGTGAAAACTATAATTTGACAAGATACACGCACCCCAATGTTGATGATGTAGCAGCATTATTTACAATAGCCAAGACATGGAAGCAACCTAAGTGTCCAATGATGGGTGACTGGATAAAGATGACATCATTTATTTCCTGTGTGACTTTGGGGCACCTCTACATGTGACCTTTCTGTGCCACAGATTCCTTACCTGTAAAATGAGGGTAGCAGCTATTCCTGTACCATAGGGTTATTGTGAGAATTAGAGGACTTAAAAAATGCAAAGTGCTTAGGACAGTATCTGGGGCACAGTAAGTGCTATATATGTATTTGACATAATTTTTGTTGTTGTTGGGCTGTTGTGAGGATTAAAATGAGATAATGTGTGTGCAAGACACTTACCACAGTGCCCATAACCGTGGTAAGCCTGCACTAAACGGTCGCTTATTAAAATACTATTTAATAGTAATAAATTAGATAGAATCCCCGATAATTAAGTCTCGTAAAGCTCTGTGACTGCAGCCTCTCCCCACAGAGGAGGATTCGAGCCTCTGTTCCAGCTGGCAGGCCGCGGGGCTGCAGACACTTAGGTCCCAGGGCTGGAGCCCGGGTGCTCCGCCGACCGCCCTCCCCCAGCAGACACACGGCCGCCTTTCCAGCTGTGCTGCCTTCGCGCTGAGTCACACACACATGAGTCACCTCTCTTTGCCAGGATGCGTTTACCAGAAGGTAGGCCAGGGTGGGTGAGTTTCAGGGTGGCTGCAGAATGAAGCCGAGCTGATTGGGTCGCTGTGGGAGTCAACCCCTGACCCCGCCACCCTGGATGGGGAGAATGCGCCGGTGGGTGGTGGTGGGGTGAGGGCAGGAGGGGGCAGTCAGGCCATGGAGCACATGAACTTTGAGATCAAACAAGCATTCCTTTTTCCCCTCCCTCCTCCTCTCCACAAAGACCCCACTCTGTGAGAGGCACTGGGCTAACTGTTGAAACGCGGAGATAAAAGACACGGCCCCAGCTTCCAAGCGCACAGACCAGTGGGGAGACAGACAAATGAATTGACAATGACCACGGACAGGCATGTGGTACCAAGACAGCCACACGGCAAACCGAGGCAGGAGAGGTGGAGGGGGATGCAGAGCCCGTCGGGGTAAACAGGATGATATCGAAACTCGGGAACAAGTTGGGGCAGTCAGGTAGGGGACACCCTGGGCAGAGCAGGGAGCATCTGCAAAGGCTGCAGGCAAGGAGGTTTCAGTGCTATGTGAGGCCAGGGAGGCAGCCAGGGCCAGCGAGGAGGCCTCTGTGAACAGCCTGGGTCGCACACAAAAGGATGTGGACTTTATCCAGAAGGCAATGTGGAGACCTGGAAGAATTTAAACTCAATAGGAAAATAATGAAATCTGGGTTGTAGAAAGTGTACTCTGGCAGCAGGGAAAAGCACTGTGCCTGGAGGCAGACACCAGTGATGCGGGTAAGGAACCACGGGGACCTGAATTAAAGCAGAAGAGGGAGCAGGGAGGGGGAGGGTCATCAGAAATGGAGACCTGGCACGACAGGATGACTGACCCACGAAGGGGCCGAGATCTGGGAGGGGAGTGGACACCGAGGACTGGAGGAGGAGACACGGGAGGTGGGGAAGACGGGCATGTGATTCAGCCTCTCGAGGCTGGCGTTACCCTTCTCCTGCCTTCTTCATACGGGAGGATCAAAGGAGACTAATTAGATGGCAGCATATTTTGAAACTATAAAATAACAAGACACATGCAAAGTTTCACCATCAAAAGCAGCATTATCAAGCAAAATGGAATTTATGCTCAACCAAACGAGCATGGCCCCAAAATAGTGAAATAACACATGTTGAGACTGGATTATCCATCTTAAGCCTCTTCGGGTCACCTCTATTCCTCACCCCAAATAGCGTGGTCCCAAAGAGATGTGACTGGAGCTTTAAATCCTTCTTGAAACAAGAATGAATGCATGGATCAATACATTCTTTTATCCCTTTGCTGTTGAGAGCCCCGTGCACGTTTGTTCACCCACCAATAACCCACGTGCAGAGCTCCAAGCTGGGCCCTGGGGGACAGCAGGGAATGAGGTGAGCACAGCCCTCTTGGGGTTCAGCTGGTGCACACCAAGTTCTCTACACCCCAAAACCAGAGACCAAAGAACCACAAGTTAACAAGACACAAATAATCAGACTGAAAAATGGGCAAAGTACCTGAAGAGACGCTACTCCAAAGACATCGTACAAATGGTCAACAGTTGTATGCAGGGATGCTCAATATGACTAGCACTAGGGAAATGCAAATCAAAACCCCAATGAGATACCATCTCAAGCCCATCAGAATGGCCACAAGTACGAAATAAACAGAAAACAACAAGTGCTAGTGAAGGGGGTGGATAAGCTGGAACCTCTGTGCACTGTCTGTGGGAATGTGAAGTGGCGCAGTCGTAATCAAAAAAGTACGATGGTTCCTTAGAAAATTAAAAATAGAACCACCAGATGATCCAACAGTTCCACTTCTGGGCGTGGACTCAGAAGGGCTGGAAGCAGGACCATGGTGAACTATTTGTACACTCACGTTCCCACACCATTCACACCAGCAAAGGCAGAAACAGCAGCGTCAACAGATGAATGGAAGAACAAAATGTGGCCTGTACTGACAATAGAATATTATTCAGCCTTAAAAAGGAAGGAAATCCTGTCACGTGCTACACACAGACGGAGGGACCAGAGGACACTGTGCTCAGTGAAATAAGCCAGTCACAACAGGACAAATACTGTGTGATCCCATCACAGGAGGTTCCTAGAGGAGTCAAACTTGGAGACAGAAGGAAGCACGGTGTTTGCCAGGGGCTAGGGGCAGGGGCGATGAGGAGCAGCTGTTCAATGGATACAGAGTTTCAGTTTTACAAGATGAAGGGTTCTGGAGATTGGCTGCACAGCAAGGTGAATGTCCTTAACACCACTGAGCTGCCCACTCAGAGATGGTTAAGATGGTGAATTTCATCTTATGTGTATTTCACAATTTAAAAAGACACACACACCAGCAGCCAGGTGTGATGAGTGCTGTGATGCGGACGGAACAACCAGGGGCAGGCCCTCATGGAGGTGGCGGAGGGGACCCTGGAGGTGTGCAAGCAGGACTGTTGCTGCAGGCAGAGTGGTCCGGGCAGAGGCACCGTCTGCTGAAGATCCAGGTGGACGGAGGGTTGGCGTGCACTGGGGAGCAGGGGTGGGCAGGCCATGCCACAGGGCACCCGGACAGGTCATAGCAGGACGTGTATCCAAAGGCCAGGGGAGGTTCTGGAGGACTTGGCCACAGGCACATTATAAAGAGCACACCTCCCGCAGGATGGACAGGTAGGGAGTGAGAACGGAGCCAGGAGAGCAGTCAGGACCCCTGGCTGGGGGGCTGGGGTGCCCTGCACTCGGACAACGGCAGAGTGACGGAGAAGACAAATTTGGAGAGATGTGGGTGATGGGCTCAGAAGGGCCAGCCGGTGGACTGGCCTTGGGGAAGGATCCTCCAGTTGCTTCTGGAACCTGTCCTCTGTAGCCCTCCACGGTTCCAGAATTCTTCAACATGTTATCTTGCTTGATCCTCATGAGATGGGCAGAGTGGAGAAGAAATGAGGTCAGAGGGTCAAGGGTCAGGGGCCATTTCTCAGGTCTCCCAGTATCCAGTGCCCCAGCCTAACCACCAAAGCCACCCCAGGGTCAACAGGGACCCCCCGGGACCCTGCTGTCCCCACACCCTCACTTTGATCTCTTTTTCCGACAATGTAACAAGCAGCATCATATCCAGACAGTCAAAGGCTGTGCTCCGGTCCCTACGATCATCTCTGTTGCTCTCCCCTCATCCGCTATCTCACTTCTGATCAGAGCAAGAAGCACACTGGTCTGGCCCCTTCTGCTTGACACAGAGCTAGGGAGGCTGGAGACTGGTTTTCCTAGGAGGCTATAAACAAATGGATGTTTTGGGTTTTTTTTTTTTTTTGGGTTGCTC